TTGGAAACATTCAAGGCCAGGCTGGATGGGGCTCTGAGCAACCTGATCTGGTTGTAGATGTCCCTGCCCATTGCAGGGGGGTTGGACTAGGTGACCTTTAAAGGTCCCTTCCATCCCAAAGCATTCCTTGATTCCATGATCTCCTTATTAGTCGTTAACCCTTTCTGCTACAGACCCACTAAACAGTGACTAGTATGTCAGGTTAAACACACTGAAATTAAGACTTCTACAGACCTGTACAGATAAGGCATGCCAAAATCTCTGTGTCGCAAATAATGAAACAAATAGAAGGACTGAAATGCCACAGTTAACAGAGGTCCTTAATTTGAAACAGCAATACATGGCTGGCAGCCTGGTTTTGCAAGAGCATTCCTTACAGCATGCAGTGTCAGACCATGTAGATTAGCACAGCGAAATAAAATCACCACGCTTGCAGACAGCTTTCTCCAGAATACAGTTATCCTCATATACAGTCATACCAGGGAACTTCAGGCAACTTGGTTTAGTACTGAGATGAGGATTGAGAACATCCAATGCTGAGTTGTTTATAATTCAAACCCAGTTACAGAGACACTAATGTAGCAGGATAATTACCTGTTCTGGTGCCATATATGTTTTTGTTCCTCTGTTCTCAGTCAGAGTCTCATTCATCACAGAAGTCACAAGACCGAAGTCACCTATTTTTATTTTATCTTCATGTGATATGAATATATTCTGAGGCTATATATATTTAAAAAAAAAAAAAATCACCATATGACCAAGGTTTATCATCAAGCATAATCAGCCACAGAATTGCTCCCCATAAAATTTCATAACTGTTCACAGAAATTAGCATTAAGAAACCGATGGGGTGGGAAACAGAAAAAAGTTCAATTAATTTTTAAAAACACAAACTAAATTTAAAGTAGTACATGCCACAGTAACCGCAACTTTTTTTTCCACTACCTCAGTCATAACTGTATCATGCTTAAATGCTCTTCAAATACATTGTGCATATAACATTTCATATCCAGAAGTGCTTTTTAGTCTTCAATCCTAGCCCTGGGATTTGATACACTTGGGCAAAGCATTTAGGCTCACATGGAATTCCACTCAAATCATAGTTTCTCCCAGGCACAGCAGGATTGTCTGTACTAAGTCAATTGCAGAGTTAGGGCTTGCTACAGGCATCTCACAGTATCACTTTAAGTTTCCACTGAACTTCCCATTTTTAAATTCGACAAAGTCATAAGCAACTAAAACCAGAATTGTATATGCTTGGATGAAGTTTCCCAAAGAAGATAAAGAAACTACATTTCTGAATGTTTTATTAAAACAAAACCAAATAGCCTCATGCTATCTTTTACCAAAGAAGCTCCAGTGGACTGTAAGGCCAGGGGAGACTTAATATTTAACAGGAAGAGATCTTTGGGTCAAGAATGCCCAATGTAGTTCTTCTGTTCAAGTTTGACCATGTCCACATGCATTTAACACAGTACCTATACCTGGCTACACTATTTGAAGATTCCATTCATACCAGGCACAAATGGGATTCATCTCAGCTTGAACCTATCCTGCAGCTTTGATTCTGGGACATGGAGATCTCAGATGGCCAACATCTAAGTTGACAGCAGATCAAAGTGGGGAGAAAAGTTCCTGAATTCAAATGCAGACAGACAAGTTAGCAATAGGACTTGGAAGCAGGTTACAGGCAGATGCCATGGATAAGGGACTGGGGCAGCAGATTCATAGGAACAGGGAAAAGTAGGAGATTGAGCCGAGATGAAAAGAAAGTAGGACTGAAGGAGCAGGAAAATACAAAGCACATAGAGCGGGAAGAGCTGAGAACTAATGGGTGAGGAGAGAAGGCACTTACTAGGCCTCTTTTTCCCAGGAATCTAGGGAAAATAATGAGCGTACTTTTGTGCTTCGTTCCAGTATTGTAGCAATAAGCCTACATAGAAAGCCTGGTACAGAAAAGCTCTAGAAGACATGGACGTATCTGTCTGTAAGACAAGATTCTACAAGTGGGCAGTGAGCATGATCTGGAACTACACTGACTGCAAAATGCAAAAGATTTCAATCTCTGGCTCAAGAAGTCCATAAACTTCAGGTTACTGGAAGTCTTGAGAGGCAGGGAATATGCATCACGGACAGCATCACTGTATCATCTCTCAGCTCTAATGCTCTCTAGGTGTTTGGAATTAGCCACCATACAAGGAAAACAGCATCCTAGATCAACATTTAATGTGACCCACTACAGCTGTTTTTAGGAACACCACTGCACTGATGACTTTTTCACAAAGCAAGTGATTTAAAACTCTAAGCAACATTATAGCTGGCATATGAAGCCCTGAAGGCTTGCAACTTTGTCCTTTATAACCTTTGAAATAAAATCTTCTTATGATTGTGCATTTGTAGAGACTGAAATCTATCCAACAAAGTAGCATTCAAATATTTGTATGCATATATGATACAAAAGCAACTAGAGTATGTTATCAAACACAGTATGTATTAGGATAGATAAACTATCCCTTTACAATACAGCAAGAGCAAACTTCCTAGACTCAACTTTTCACTTTCTTTCTTTTAATTATTTTATCATGTAAAGTCAGTATTTCTTTTTCCAATAGGCAGTCTTGTGGCCCACTACTAGGGTACATGATAGACTAAACAAAGACTAGGACAGTTTAACATTTTCTGAAATTCGAATAAGTACTATTTTTATCTGATTTTTTTTTTAAATTACCTATCCTACTTACCTTGAGGTCTCGATGAATTAACTCTTTAGAATGAATATATTCCACTGCTTCCAGTATTTGTAAAAATTTGTTTTGTGCCATCTCATGATACTTTCGGTTTCGTCTATTCTTTTCAATCCAGTTTTCCAATGTCCCTTGTTCACATAATTCCATTTGGATAAAAAGACAGGGAACTTCTTTTTCTGACTTCTGCCTGCAAGAGAAAATTATATACCATATAGGAATTGGCAAGATACACTTCCTTCCAAGCCATCGATGACTTTCAGGTTCCTCTTCTTAAAAAAACCCTTTTTGTTAATTATTATTATTTTTTGAGTTCCCCAAAACAAAGTCTGGAAGTCTCTTGATTTTAAAAAAGATCCTAGACCAATTTGTACTAGGTACAAATAAATAGAACTGCAAACCAAAGAATCCCTGCTCAGGTGCTACATACGCCTGGAATATTCCTAATGTTTTGCTTGCTTCCTTGTTCACACCGAAAGTTTTCTGAGTGCCCAAATTCTGCTCCCCTCATATCTAGAGGCATGTCCTATAGAGGAAATAGCACTGTCCTTGGCTCCCATCTTGCCCTCTAGGAACTGCTGCAAGTCCCTAGCAGGTATTCTCTATTCTGCTCAACAGAAGAGCAGTAGCCTTCCTCTCCTACCCAGAATGATCACGTTCTTTCAACCTCTGTCCCTTCAAGAAGGTAGCGCGGTGACCACCTTTGACATCAGTCTGCGAATTAGAGTAACCCTTCTAAGAGCTGGAAATCTACATGAAACATATTCATCCACCTGACAGCCTCACACTTTCCAGAAGAGTTCACTCACCATCAGCCCATAGGATGGGAGACGGTGAGGGGAACAACAATATGAAGAGAAAAAGGCGCCACTTTTTCCTACTTGCACAGTGGGATCTGAGTTCCCTGGAGTAAAGCTGCCTGAGGCACTGAAAGAACAAGCATTAAGTGGCTCGGGACTCTGTAGCCTTGGGGTCAGGGCACTGAGTGGAATTCCAGGCTGAGACCTCAGCTTTGAGGACTTTTTTTCTGTCTTTTACCCAATAACTGTTCAATATAAAATGCATAAGTGATATTGAGGCTCCAACATATTCATGGTTGGGTTTTGACATGAGACTTTTCTTCGCCTGTTTCATTCCTCATTTACTGAGCACACCGGACAGATATCATGCCAACCATAATTTTGAATGCATTAATATTTTATGGCTCTAGGTAAGTGTGGAAACCTATCTGAAGGGTATGAATTTACAGCTAGTGAAAAAAAAATTACCACAGAAGCTCTGAAAAGATAAGAACCTAACTTATGGGTAAAACTCTCACCACTGTCTTCCCAGAAGTCTTAATGTTGAAAGACTACCTCTAAATGAAAGAGCATTTCATTTTGTATTTGTTCTCAACAACCAAAACTGTTTCAAGCATCATGGTTAAAATGCTAACTTAGAGAAATAATTAAACCTATGAGAGCTACTGGCTGACCAGTACTTACTAAAAAAAGGAAACCTCCAATCACGAATTTGGCAACCAACTGCTAGACCATTTTTTAGTTTCTGTTGTTAATTCTAGACCCAAATTTTGAGTTCTTAGACTCCTCTATAGATTCAGCAAGTTCTATATATTAAGAGAGAGAGGAGAAAGATAAAATTACATAATGTATCTTATTCATCAAGGAAAAGAAGATAGAAATACACTTAATTATATACGACCTGCTGCTGAAACGTACTGTGCCTTTTTTCCTAACAGTAAGTATGTAAGTATGTATTTGTATAATGATTTATAACCAATCATCAGCCTTTCTTTTTACAACACAAAATTCACTATGGCAAACAAGTTTTTGAGTGCAAACTACCATTTTGTAGTTACCTTGAGTCTGGGTAAGTTACATAGTCGTTCCCTTTCCAGCTACTATAATACCGCACTATGTTTTCGTGGTTAAGTCCTGCAAGTCCCGTTACTTCACGCTTTACATTCCTATTTGGAGGGAGGGGGAAAAAAATGAAATGGCATTTCCCTATAAAAGTTTAATACTAAGTTAAATAAAACACATGATATCAAGTAGCAGTATACAGATAGTTTTACATTAATTTAGAAAAAGAACATAATATTCTCCTTCATACAAGTTCAAAATTGTAGTTACAAATTCTGTGGGTTTTCTTTCATCTGCCAGCTATTCAAAGTGCAAAAATGTTTTAACCATACTAGAAATGAAAGCCCCACTCAAAAAAAGCTGAAAAAAGCAGATAGTTACAATGCGTAATTACATTAGGTAGCCAAACACACCGTAGCAAACACCCATGTTTTCTTTTCACCTCTATGAAGTTTGTTTACATATACAGAAGTCGGTGTAAATACTCATGAAGAACTATTACTAAATTTGGCCTGCACTTGTTGTAACATTGCCTAGTGAAGTAAGTTCGAACCCATCAGCAGACCAGCAGTCTTTATTTGAAGAATCAGTAGAACATTTTTAGTATAGTTCTCAGGATTGCAATACAAATGAAAGTGACACGTACTTGTGAGGAACACAAGCATTTGAAGGGCGGTTACACAATGTAAGGGACAAGTATCTCCAACAACTTGCAACTTTTCAAATAGGTTACCTAAGAGACATTCAAGTTTTTCAGCTGCTGATAAAATTCTTTGTTGATATTTATAAAGGACAAGTAACACAGTGTAGGAATAATGACTACATTGGTCATATATAAAGCATTTTCCAATTACAAACCACAAAATGCATTACTTTCATTTTTCTCTATTTTCCCTAACTATAGTAATTATGCATTACTGATATGTAAATTTTCCATGTAACCTTGTATCAGGAGCAGTGTGGCCAGCAGGACTAGGGAAGTGATCGTCCCCCTGTACTCGGCACTGGTGAGGCTGCACCTCGAGTACTGTGTTCAGTTTTGGGCCCCTCACTACAAGAAGGACACTGAGGTGCTGGAGCGTGTCCAAAGAAGGGCAACGAAGCTGGTGAAGGGT